TGAGATGTTAACAGAAGGCAACGGCAAACCAATTACATACTGTTGTCAAGAAAGCTACATGGAGTCAACAGGAACTGAGTTGATCTCAAAGATTTTAGGTATTGTAGTAAATTCTAGTTGACTTCCCAGCATGAAAACAGTGTACTAATCTAGCTGGGATATTGGGGGAAGGGAGAGAAATCTAACTATAATAAAGCAATGCCATTATGAGGAAGAAACAAAAAAAAAGTATTTCAGGTTTCCTCCAGCCATACAGGAAGAAGTTAGGAGTTCTGGAGGTGTTTCCTGGACTTTTCAAGAGTTTTCTAGAAAACCTGCCAAGAAATACAACCGAGTTATTTTTACTGGGACAGCCTTGGTTTGTAGGATTTTTCTATCATAAAATCTCTAGAGCTGGTTCCCCAAAGTGGTCAGTATTGACCCACATGATGGGATTACCCAAGGGCAATAGATGTCTGGAGGTCAAAAAAGGATCAGTAAATGTCATAGGTGGTCAATAAATGATGGAAGGACAATTGGGATCAATATTTTTGGTGTCTCTGCAGAGCTAATGGCAAGACAGGGTAGATGATCAGCCATCAGTGAAAGCAGTCTGGAATATTATTGTTATAGCTATTGTTCATAGTACTATTAGTTAAAGTTAAATTATTTTCATATAATAAATTATTGGGATTCAATGAACAATCTGAAACTTTATGAAGGAGTCAATGATCTGAAGAATTTGGGGGTGATAACTTGCTCCATTGTTTGTTACGTTATTAACTGTTGCAAACTCTACTAATTTGAAAAGTAAAATGGGAGTGGTTTTTTTCAGACTAGTATTAATAACAAAAGGTATTTAGAAGGAAATGATTTTCCCATGTCACATTTGCAGTTATAATATTTCAATATTAAGACTGAGGAATCCTCTAAAATTACAATAATGTAGAGCAGGGGTAGTCAACCTTGGCTCTTTTATGACTCGTGGACTTCAACTCCCAGAATTCCTGAGCCAGCCAGGAGTTGAAGTCCACGAGTCATAAAAGAGCCAAGGTTGACTACCCCTGATGTAGAGGTTTCAGTAAGAGAAAATTCTACTGACTTTAAGAGTGCTTGCAACTTCTTAGAGTATCATAGAACTGCACTAAAGCAGCCATTTCTTTAGACACAGAACCAACAGCTATTATGAAAATCTAATACCATGATATAGCTGATTCCCAATATGGGCCGAATATACATCTCAAATTATTAACTAATCTTGCTATTGTGCTGGAATTGGGCCAGTTGTGTGGGAAATTCTTTCAGGATAAATGTATGAATATTAAAGATACAGCCTTTTACATTTGTTCACACTCAATTTACTTTCCTGAGCTCCTTTTAAACAAGGCATTTCACTTATAAGCTGTTAGGCCAAGTTTTTGTTATTTCGTTACTGACTTAATATTCCTAAAATATTTGCAGGACCAACTATCTACCCACTTTCAATTTCCATTTTTAAAGAAATAAATTTCTCCAGGGAAATTACAGGAAAGTGTAATTTGGGGACAGCAAGACAGAACTGGTAATGGCTTCAGTAAGAAATCTACCTTATGGGTTTGGTGCAAATTACGAGACTGTAATAAAGATAATTGGAAGCAAATATGTCCGATGCCTTGTAGAGAAAAGTGATGGGTAAGTATAATCTCAGGGAAATATAATTTTAATTAGAATTCATAGCATTATGTCTTTAATTAAAGTATCAAAGATGCCACAAAATATATGTTGCAATTAAAATGCAGTAAATGCTGATACCTAGCATTAAATTATTATCAGCATCAGGACATTTAAGAGAATAGGGAAACGTTTCATTTTTTAATCCATTTTAGGAAGAGCACATAATATTATAAAAATCAAAGGACTTAAACAGTTTGGTTTTGAGTTATTTTTAAGTGGTCAGGAAGGAGGATAAATTATTCTTTTATTGTTGTGGCATTTACAAATCCAGAGGTACTCTATATTTATAAGAAGTCACACATTAAAATTATTTCCTTATTTTACTACCTCTGTCTATAGATAAGAGTTGAGATTTGAATATTTAAGTGCTGTAGATTAAACGTTATTTGCTATTCTAAACATCTGAAACAGGAATATTGGTTTATATAAATCAATGAAAAATAGCACAAGAGTCCACAAGACAGCAGAGCCCAATCAAGTAAAAATTTCATCTCTTAGACTATTAAATATACACACATACATAAAATTAAAATAGGACAAGGATGGAGTATTACGTAGGTCTGTTCGCCGCCTTGAGTTATTTATAAAAAAAAAATAAAGGTGAGATAAAAATAAATAAATGAAGGGCATCATTGACCAGCATCATGAGTATTATATGGTCTTGTTTTCTCTCACTAATTTTTACTGTGTGTACACATAAACACACAGGGGTACAATTGGATATCATCCTTGTAGTGATGACACCATACGCAAAACTGACAGATGACCCATCCAACAGTTTCAGGTAGATATTTAAAAACAAGAGAGTAAGTATCAGACCCTGAATCAGGAGGGTATGGTGTCTCCCCTCCTGTCAATACCAACTGGAAACAATCTTTGAGGAGGGAGGAAAAGCATTACACAGTACCCTCTCTCGCAACCACACCAGGGAGTCCAGAAGGATACCACAATTGATAGTACTAAAAGATGTTAAGCAATCAAAGCATTCTTGGATAGATTCACCACTGTTATCTCAGCACTGTCAAATGTCATTGACAAGTGAAACCAGTGCTGTCCCTGTATGATATCCCAGTCTGAACCCTGACTAAACTGTGCTCAGATAATCCATATCCTGCAAAGCCCTATGTAGCTGGCATTTAACCATCTTATTCATAACCTTCCTCAAAAAATATATATATTGGAAACTGGATGATAATCATCCAACATGGAGAGTCCAGTGATGGCCTCTTGAGAATTTGGGGACAAAATACATTATACAATTATTGTTTTATTGATTATCTGCCAAAGAAAAGAGGGAAAGGAAGAACATGTCTGATCCTTTTACCCCAAATTTCTTTCTCCTAGATCAGAGGTCCCCAGTCTCTGGTCTATGGCCCAGTGCCAGGCCACAACCCGTTCAGAACTGGGCCATGGAATTATGCGAGAAAAGTGCTAGAAACCATCCCTTCTTCCCCCACTGCCACCGCAGTCTCCAGCAGTCCACCAAGCCAGAAGGGTTGGGGACCACTGTCCTAGATGCTTTTAACACAATGTTGCAGATCCAAGATAAATATTTTCTGGGTGTTCAGACACACTTGTAAGAACTAAAATTCTGTTGTATGCATACAAACCTGGCTTCTATTAACCAGGGATTGTTAAACAGGACAATCTCTGAATACTTTTTGTTCAAATTATTTCATCTTGCCTTCCACTCTTTCAGCCTTGAAGCCACTTGTATACACAATTCTATAAATTATATAGAATAACTTCTTTGTAATTTTCATCAAAGGCTTTGTGGTGTAAAGGAGAGGTTTATTCTCCTTTTTCACCATGCCATTTTGCTTCTGTTCAAACTGATTGAATGAGCCAAAGCTTCATTTCTTTTGTATCTTGTTAGATGGCTTAACTTCAACTGAAGTTTTCTATTACAGAGCAAATCCTTCTTATAGATGTCACAATGAGAAAATGTGATGGACAACCACTTCCCCATTCCTTCTAAACAACAGTATTTTCCTTGTATTTTGCATACATCTCACAGAAAAGGGAGACATTCTAAGAAATAACATTTCCTTAACATTTGTCTTTCAACAAAATACAATAGAATCACTGTAAGATAATGGTACAGAGGTCTAGATTTAAAAATGCAAGAGCTGAAATCTCACAAAAGGAAGAAATAGAAATAGAACATTGATGGACAAGGTTTTTCTCCACCACCTACTCTTAATTATATCCTATTGTAAAATTGTCAGAGTAGCATGGAGAGCACTTGCCTATAAAATCACCAAGAATTGGACATGACTAAATGGTTACAACTACAATTGTTAAATACGATTGGTTATTATTCCTTATCAACTCATTGATAAGTAGATAACTCTATTTCAAATATTCATTCAAGCATTCGTTCATTTATCAAGCATATATTTCCTTTGTTTATTTGATGGCATAAACCAAGACTGCTGTTACCACCACGAGCTCAAAATCTAGTCTCATGCTCTCTCTTGACGACACCACATGCTTTTGGTGGTTCAGCAATAGCAATAGCACTTAGACTTATATACCACTTCACAGAGCTTTGCAGCCCTCTCTAAGCAGTTTACAGAGTCAGCATGTTTCCCCCAACAATCAGGGTCCTCATTTTACTGACCTTGGAAGGATGGAAACCTGAGTCAGGTGAGAATCGAACTACCAAGCTGCTGGCAGCCGGCAGTCAGCAGAAGTAGCCTGCAGTACTGCATTCTAACCACTGCACCACCACAGATCTTATGGTGGTGCAGCAACAGATATAGATGTAATTAGTTTCCCTTTGGGACTATATTAATTGATTACACTACTTTGTTTCTGCCTAATGAACAAATGTTCCATTAAAAAATATTTTGTATGTAAATGGAGAAAAGATAAAGTAGTTACATCTTGGTGCCAAAATATATATTGAATACTTCCCACTCACAGGAAAGCAAAGGAGATTGTGAAACCTGAGGCACAGTCCATGCTCCAAACTTTATCTCTGCATAATATAAGACAGAGAAATGGAAAATTTCCAGACCACAATAAGCCATCTGGTCAGCAAATCAATAATGGTGTGAATATTGAATCTCTGAACAAAAATGGAGTGGAAAAATATACATCCAAACAAACAGAAATAAATGTTGTCAAATCTGTGGACAACAAAGTAAGTTGTTATAAGTCTTATAGTCCCTTCATTTTCTCATTCAGTTACAGATGGGAAACAGTCTGGGGATCAGGCCTATTAATAGACCAACTTTTCATAGGTGGCCTTCAATGAGTGACCACAGAGATAGAATGGGAGCAAATGAGGATGTGGAATGAAGCAACTTATGGGTCTTCCATAAGATCTTGTTTCATGGGCACAATGATGTCATGATGTACATGTCATCACTTTCAAGTCACCATGCCTTATTATGAATGCTGTCTGCCCCTACTTGGATAGTAATTGCCAAAATTCCAAGAGCAAACCCTGAGCAGACTAGACTGGGAAAGATTGCATGAACAGGAATAAGGCAACTGTTTTAGTGGTAGATTATGGGCAAGGTATCAATTAAGTGGTTGCTACTGTGCTATGGACAATAGATGGACAGAGATGCATGTCGGATATGACAAAAGACTGATAAGTCTTTTGTTAAAAAACATTCTTCCCTCATTCTTACATGTACCTCATGAGGACTCAGGCCACCAATTTTTTCAGTTTTTCTCTTCCAAGTGAGATATTAATAGTTTTGGTATAATGCAGTAGAATGTGCCAATTTGTGGAAAAAAGAGCTGGAACTTCCTCAGCCTATGTCAGTGGTTCTCAACCTGTGGGTCGGGACCCCATTTGGGGTCGATCGACCATTTCATGGGGGTCGCCAAGCAAGGCTGTCTGCCATTTTTTTGTCCATTTTTTTTGTCCGCCATTTTTCCCCTTTTCCGGCGGGTGCCTTACCTCCCTTGGGCTGGGCCAGCTGGTGGTCGGCCTGCTCCATCTCTGCCGCTTGCCAGCTACGCCTCGGCCGGCGCAGGGGGCGGAACCACGCATGTGCGGTGCTCCCGGGCAGGGAAAGTCCTCGACTTACGACCAGTTGGGTAGTCCTCGACTTACGACTGGTTTAGTCCTCGACTTATGACCGGTTTAGTCCTCGACTTACGACCGGTTTAGTCCTCGACTTACGACCAGTTGGGGTCGCAGCATTAAAAAGGTTGAGAACCACTGGCCTATATCCTTGCCATGGTCATGATCTTTCATTCTTTTTTCTGTTAAAAGGATGTTAGTATTTGTACTGATTTTACAGCATGAAATTTTGTTTCTCTTTATTTCTCTTTTTACTTCCTGTTCATTATTTAAGGAATTAAAACCACCGAATTTATACTGTGTTACTGCACCCTGTGGAGATAAGTCTTTATCTTATATTCACTCTATCAAAAAAACATCTTTTGAAGCTCAGAAATCAAAAGCATTTCAAAAACAGGTAAGTAAACACGATTAAACTTTCAGTAGTTACAATGGGTTTCATAAGCATCTTTTAGAAAGGCAGAAATAGCCCAATATATTTTATCACAGTGGTAAAACTTTCTTACCAAACTCTTATACCAAGCTTGTTTACTGAGGCCAAATAGTTTTATTGTAGTATGCCCATGGCTTGACCTATGCATAGGATCCTAGGTCCTTTCTGATTTCAAAGATTTCACTTCTAGATACAGTCCTGGGTACAAAACCAAGTTTTAGGTCCTTGCAAAAGGCCAATCAGGGTAAGGATTAACCTAATCTCAAGTGGAATTATGTTCCACAGAGTGGGCATCATGGCAGAAAAGCCCCTCCTCCTGAGCCCCATCAGCTGACAGTCCTTATCTGATGGTGACCACAGCATGACCATCCTGCTAGATTGGGTGGGACAAATAGAAACAATTGGGAAGAGACAGTCCTATAAGTAAAATAATAGTATTTCTTTCATCAGGACGTTCTACCAGAGGATGAGGATGATTCTCTTCTAGTTCTGCTCAGAAAGGAGTTTGAGTTGCATCCTATAAGTCTCAATGCTTTGGCCAGCCTGAATGAAGAGCTCAAGGAGACGGATCTCAAGAAATCAGGATTTCTGTCCCAGGCCCAGCTGAGCACCCTGCTTCTCAAACATGATGTCCCGCTACAATTACCAACTGTGAAACTGCTTTTCAAGAGGTGTTCACAAGCTAATGACCAAAAACTGGTATGCTAGTATAAGATTTTGAACTGTGGATCAAATTTATAATTTTGAGCTCAGTGGAAAGGAGCTTTATAAAGACTACCTTATTCTTTTGATATATTGATGGCATAGGTCGGGAGGAATCTTAATTTATGACCACAAATGGGTGTTGGGGAAAAAAACATCATGTTCCCTACTCCTGTAAGTGATAATAGCATACTAGTGTAAATGATTATGTTCTTTTAAATGATTGGGAGGCAACCAAAACTTCATTAACCGGTGGAATTTACCTCTCATAGGATTGGGGGGGTTGCTTGTTGATTTCGATAGCTCTGAAGGAGGATTCAATGAATGTTGTGTGAATAAGGCTATCAAGGACTACCCTGTAGATAGTTGATTGATGGATAGATAAATAGATGTTAGAGATAGATGATAGATAATGGATGGATGGATGGATGGGTAGGTAGGTAGGTAGGTAGGTAGGTAGGCAGGATGATGGATGGATAGATATTCAGGATTAAAAGCAGCATGGATGGATAGATGGGTAGATGGGTAGATGCTCTCTCTCTCTCTCTCTCTCTCTCTCTCTCTCTCTCTCTCTCTCTCTCTCTCTCTCTCTCTCTCTCTCAGAGAGAGAGAGAGAGAGAGAGAGAGAGAGAGAGAGAGAGAGAATGGATAAATAGAGGATGGATGGATGGATGGATGGATGGATGGATGGATGGATGGTCATGATTGGACGCATGTGGATGGATGGATAGATGGGTAGATAGATGAATAGATAGATATTCACAACTAGAGGCAGCATGTGTCATCAAGTACCAGTTGCAAAGAGAAAAGAGCTGTTCCACTTTTGGCTTTTGGCTTAACCATAGTGATCTGGCTGATAATTATGGAAAGTCCAATGATAATAGACTGCTTACAGTGTGGGCCATTGGTCTGACCTGTTCTAATCTCATGGATTTCAGCAGATCCAGCCTCTCTAGCTATACTAAAGTTAAAGTTAGTTTATTAACACCTACTATACATAGTTAGGTCAACCAACAGTAGTAATATTTTCTACACCATATATTTTTTGTCTTCTGGAATTTTGAATCCCTGTTTTAAAAGTAGCCTTTGAAATTATGTTTCTTTATGTTTCTTTTAGATAGATTATGAAAAATTGATCCAGTTATTAACACTACAGGCATCGGGCAAAATGCAACATATCCTTCCTGAGAAGAATCAAAATAAAAAGAATCCAAGGTTTCATTTTAATTTTGCATATTATATTACAAATATCAATAAAAAAGTATGAGAGAGGAATTTTCTGCTTTCAGCTTCCATTTGATTAGCTATAGCCTAAGGCTAAGACAACAGTTTTAATATGTAAATGTTAATTTTTTAATATGTAGCCTGTGGCTATAAAATTTTAGCAGTGATTTTTATCTCAACTTTGCAATAGGACAAAGACCTGTTTGGCAAGAGATATAAAAGAGATGCAGCCACAATATCCTTTTGGGCACCAGGGACCAGTTCTGTAGAGAAAGGTTTTTCCATGGACCAGAGAGTGCATGGTTTCGTGTGCTGCCTGCATCCCACGGATGGGGCTTTGCTTGTTTGTGCAGACCGGTTGCTGGCATGCCCTGGACCGGTACTGGTCCACGGACTGGGGGTTGGGGACCCCTGTTTTAGTCCACCCCCATTTCCAAGGCAGGGCACCTCATATCATCCCGGACAAACGGTTGTCCAATCTTTTCTTGAAGACCTCCAGTGATGAAGAAACCACACCTCTGGTAGGCAACTCGTTCCATTGACTAATTGTTCTTAATGTCAGGAAATTTCTCCTTAGTACCAGATTGCATCTCACTTTAATGAGATTCCATCCATTGCTTCTTGTTCTGCCCTCAGGTGCTTTGGAAAATAAGTTGACCCTTTCTTCTCTGTGACAGCCCCTCAAGTATAGATAGTGCTTGACTTACAACCACCACTGAGCCCAAAATTTCTGTTGTTAAGTGAGACATTTAAGTGAGTTTTGCCCCATTTTACGACCTTTCTTGCCTCGGTTGTTAAGTGAATCACTACAGTTGATAAGTTAATAACCCAGTTGTTAAGTGAATTTGGCTTCCGCATTGACTTTGCTTGTCAGAAGGTTGCAAAAGGTGAATGCATGACCTTGGGACACAGCAATGGTCATAAATATGAACCAGTTGCCAAGCCTCTGAATTTTGATCACATGATCATGGGGATGCTACAAATGTCACAAGCGTGAAAAACAGTCATAAGTCACTTTTTTCAGTGCCATTGTAACTTAGAACAGTCACTAAATGAACTGTTGTACGTGTGCTATCCCACTCACTCTCACACACAAGTAATTGTGGTTTAGTGAGTTTATTAATATTCCCCAGCAATTTCCTTTGCCAAAAAAACCAGAACTGTCCCAATTAAGTCCAGCCATGAGCAGACCAATGCTAATCCACAGAGCAATGGCCAAAGAGTCCATAAAGCACTTGAAAGATTCTCAATCAAAATAAATCCACCAGGGAAATTTAAATCCATAACACAAGAGAGTTCATATGGCAAGAAAAGTCCAGAGTTTCCAAAGCACGATCCAAGTCAAGGCACAGTGTCAATCCAAAGCAAGGCAGGAATCACAATGACCAGAAAACACACATCTAGGAAGCAAACACATTGTTCCCAACATTGCCTCCATCTGTCTGCTGTGCTAAATAGCCAGCTTCAGGTACAGCCCATCAAGAAGGGTGAGGCTTTCTCCTCATGAGTAGTCTGGCTGACTTTCTCTGCTCCTGCCTTTTCTCTACACTACGTAAACTTGGATCAGGTGCAGAAGTCAGTTCCTTCCCCTCCCCCTCACCGACTGGCTTCAGCTGCATGCTTTCCCTACCTGGAACCTCAGCCAAATCCCTCACAGGCAGCTGCTCGGAGCCTCAATCAACTCAGCTCCTGACATGCCAGGAACTGGTTCATCCTCCCCCAAGCTAACATCTAGAGAGGTATCTGTGGAAGTGTCCGGGGGAATCATCACAATAAGTCAAGACTACCTGTACTCTTTTCTTTGTTAGGATAGACATATCTAGTTCTTTTAGCCACGCATCATACCTTTAGCCTTCAGACCCCTTATCATCTTTGTTGCCCTTCTCTGTACTCTCTCTATGGTCTCAGCATCTTTTTTACAATATAGAGTAATTCAAAATGAGGTAGTACACCCAATTCAGTTGTAACTTGCACCTGCCATGAACATGAATAATCAAACCAGAAAGCTTGTGCTTATGATTTGTCTAATATTATGTCCAACTCAACATCCCTGGGCTATTCCTCTCCTAAAGAATTAGAACCATAATCCCAGAATAAATCCTGAAATTCTGGGTTTTTTTTCTAGAAAGCACTTGGGAACAAATCAGCATTTTATTATTATTTCTTTTAATGATTTCTTCCTGCAGACACATTAATGTTTACTTTGTTTGGGTGTTTTATTAATTATGTTAACTATTGGGAAGTCTGTGAACATTACAGTAATACTATAAATGATTATGTATGATAAAATAATTTGAGTCTTTTTTTCTGGGATTGATTTGTTATAATTAGCATCTTATCTAGCTTGATGAAGATGATTATGATAAACCTGTAAATTATAATAATATTCTGACTAAGTTAAATCCAAGCACAGCACTTCTATTTTCAAGAATGCAAGATA